GTTCTTATTAATAAGTCGTGCTGAGCGACGATTGTTTTGAACAGTGGATTGGCGACATCTAACGAACAATTGGCAATGGAGTCCAATGAATCATCACAGTCAGAATCAACGACTTCGGCAAATTTCTTAATCAAGGATAGTAACTGATTCCGTGACAAATAGCGCAAATCAGTTTTCTGGATTTAATTGAGATAGGTGTTTATGATCGCTTTAGAAGATTACAGTTAACTGTGTGATGAACTACTTTTGACTATATCTTTTTTTTAAGATAAAGGGAATGGGAGAATATATCAGTCTTAAATCGAATAGGTACTACGTGTTGTACCACTGTGATAATAAAGCAGATGTCCTTTGTAAACATTACAAACATGTTATATCAACGAATTTAAATTTTTTCGATTGTATATGGAACTTTAAAAAGTATTATGCGAGTATTAAGAATGAAAAATATATCGTAGATGAAATACATACAGATGACATTAAATATCGTCTATTGCCATATTACAGCTTAATTTCGTGTCCATCTATTGAACATTTTCAACAAGTATTCGAACAAATATCAATCAAAGAATTAATATATCCAACAATTTGTTATGTACTTAATAATCTCAAAGAACTCAACGATATTCGTAGGCTCAAATAATACTTGTGAGTATTCCTCTCAAATGTCATCTAGCTTCTTCTATTACTGATCTCTCGTTACCGTTTAAAAATGAATACTCTGAAAACATAAGTTTGAAAATCTTTCCTTAAAGTAGAGTTTTGAAAGGATCTTTTGGAAACCTGTTATGATCAAAGGAATATTATAGTTCTTCTTTCACGGATAGATAGTGCAAGGTGTTCTGTTTAAATGGGAGTTCAGCGAAACTCTCAACTGGAATCATTGAAGGAGCCCTTCAACCTTTTTTGTAAAACAACCAAAATGTCTGAAATATATACTCTTCTCTCTTAATTTTGATAAATATTAAAATATTTCAGAAATCGATCCAAATAAGCTAGAAACTTCAGGATGTATCGAATTTTGAGTTTGTCTCCATGATGACAATGCAGAAAAGTTCAGAAATAATCGTCTTCATGGGCTTGATTCCTAAGCAGAGTTCAGAAAATCTAATATGTGATAACATCAGTTTTCGTCTTCTTTTGATCACTGCTTAATCACATTCTAATATTTCAAAAAAGATGCTTTCGAAACTCTACTTTAAGAAAGGATTTTGGTAACCATTTGACAACTTGGTATCAAATGGAAGAGTGCGTCGAGTTCTATATATTTCGATGAAGAAAAGTTATGCTACATCTTGGGGTCTTGAGATATACAGTACTGGAAAACATTATAGAGCCGGGTTGGAGCCTACTCTTTAATTTTTATTTATTTTGTTAATTAACGATCTGAGATAGATTAAAACACATGAGTATATGCATTGAGCCTTACTGAACTGGTTACGCACGAGATAATGAAGAGTGAAGTAGTCGCCATCTATAACCTGATAATGAAACGACCTTTAGAGTCCGGATGTACACTGTTTTCTAGCCTGATCCAGGTTGTATTTGTGCTGAAATGTTCGTATCTCTAAGTCAAGCCGTTAGAAAATAACACACTCAAGATTAAACGCTAATTGATCCTAATTCACCAGTTCTAGAAAGTTGCGTGGATAAAACGCATTTAGGCGCATCAAACGGGTGTATATCTGAGCGACTTAAAAGGCAGGATAAGACGCGTTTTTGAGACACGTCTAGGACTAAAAAATGTTTGCATGAGGTCAAACGCTATTCAGAAACATGTTCATGTTTTGAGATGGATAGTTTTAATATAACTTAAAGATTAACAATTTTTATTTGTTTAGTTAAATTGGCATGGTTCTTATTAAATCCATTAAAAAATGACTCCAGTAAATTGTTAGCTGGTTGTTTATTAAAATTGACTTTTATACAAAATTCATTAATTAATAGTCAGTGTCATGATGAATATAAAATAACAATACCTTTGCCAATATTAAGTTTGAAAGAAGATGATTTATTCATAATGATGAACAAATATTATTAAATAAAATTTATTAATGTGGTTTTATGACTAATTATAATTATGGTTATGGTCGTAATATTATTTATGATTTTCATGAAATTGAATTATGGTTAAAGCAAAAACTGAATAAATGTAAATTAATCGATACAGAAACAGTAAGACAATTTGATCTATTTCATTGTCAATTTGCAACATTTGATACTGAACCAAATTTAATTATTAAAATACGTGAACATATACAACAAGAAGAATTACCAATATTGAAACAAGAAAAATTAAAAGATTTTATAACAGAAAATAGAGATAATTTATTAAAAGTAATTGGTTCACTCGATCATATCTTCACCTATTTACAATATACATCAACGTATGATAATATGACATTAGGTGAATTTATAGAAACAAAAATAATATGTTTAAAAAATATTCCAGAATTATTAAAAAATGAAAATGTGTTGGTTGGAACAGCTTTAGCAAATACAAATTTCGATAAATAATCAGTCATGGTGATGACATACCGATTGCCATGTAATGATTCTTCATTTGTAGGACCCCAATAATCCATACCAACAATACCAAGAACCTCATTTGGAATTTCTGTTGAATGCATCAATCCTGGTGGTTTGGTTCGACGAATGTTATGTTTTGAACATTGCAAACATGACTGAATATAATTAATGATGCAATTTTTCATCTTTGGCCAGTAATATTTGTTTTTTAATTTTTCATATGTTCGAGTAATACCGAAATGTGCACTTGATGGATGATCATGAAATAAGAACAATACTTCTTTGATTAATGAACGTGGCAAATATGGTAATCTAATGTTTCTGATTCCAC